TCGTTAGTAATGAATGATGTGCGTCCCAGAGCCTAAATAACACTCGTCTTGTCACACACTAATCTCTTTTTAATATACTTCTAAACCATTAATCAACTTTTCCCGCCTTCTTTTATTCGCTTTTGTCGACCCCATAAGGGGTATCGAATGGTCTTCTAAAACTAATCTCGCCTGTTCGTTTAAATTCTCATAACATTCCCAAGAATTTTGATCTTTCGGGTATCCCACCCATTTAATAAGATACTCTTTTCTACCCTTCCTCAGCCTCCCCTTAATAATCTTTTCGATACCAAAATATCCGCTATTCTTACTATTCATCTCTGTTTCTCTGGGCATACATACAATTCAATACCACAAAAAAAAAAACGGTAAAAAAAAGATAGAAAAGCAAGCAATACATTACATTACTGAGCAATAGGGTTAGGGTTCTGGAAAAGAGTTCAACGTCCTTGAGTTACACAGTGTCCAGCGAGCAGTTCTCTAAGCAATACACAGATAGCTAAAGTTCTAATCAAAGTCTATAAGCGTCTCTTCTCTTGTTGCGTTATTCCGGGTCGTTCTTTCATCTTCTTCTCTTTAATGTCGCTCAATTCTTAATTATACAGTCCTATACGATACTGGTCCTTCCGAAGGGGTTCTGAAATCTTCATCTCTTCAGCGTTGTACATCGGTGCCATACTGTTAACGGTGTTAGTCGTCAAGCGCGGTTTCGTCTTTGCCATCGAGCCAGTTAGTTCGGTTCGCAAGAAAGGCACATCTTCGCCATTTCACTTCTCTTCACAGGATGTCAATGTGTGTTAAACACCTGCCCGGGGTTCTCACACCACGTGTCAGGGGATAATTCTTTCTCTCTGGTGTCTCCACACTTGTCAGGGGAAACTCGTCTCGTCTCTCTATCTCCTCCCTTTGAGGTACGGGATCGGGAAAGTCACTTTAACTTTACAGTCAAATAAGGCACACACAACGTAATACGTTTCAGCTCTCGTCTTAGTCGGTCAATCGAGCACTCTATCAGACACAGCGCCCTGGGGAAAAAATCCCCAAGACTCTCGCAAGGCTGACCCAAGACTAGCCCAAGACTGGACTGCCTCAAGGCTCGCCCCTGGACTGCACTCTCGACTCTCTAGGACTGCATCTGTCGTGGAGTATTCGCCAAGACCAACTCAAACTCTCTTTATTCATTTTCAAAACTCTAACCAATTACAAAACAGTAAAAGACTCTAGGGCGTAACCTTCAATCATAAAGCCAATCACACTAAGCACTGAATACGTCATATCTTTTGATTAATCGTTCACTACATTAATAACTATGGATATAAACTGTCAAAATGAGTAGTCTAAAAAGCGGCGGTTATCTGGTAATTAGTTCCAAATCACTGAGCCAAGTTCCGTCCAAAACTTCAAATAGGCCTACACGATGACAGACATAACACAGCAATTCGCTAATAATCAGTTAATTAAGTCGGTTAACAGATACGCGAAAACAAATTCATGACAACGCACTGAGCAAAGACCACCGCCCTTTCATCAAAGGCCTCTTCCAAGCTATGATTTATTTATACCGCCCGAATATTTTGATTTGAAATTGAGTTAAGCCACAGCCCCCCACAAAAGCCTGCATTATTTTACAACGTGAAACCACCTTATTATCGATATCCAACAACATTTATTATCTTGAATATTACATTTAAGCCCAAATAATAAACGTCAACAATATTAGTAAATGCTAGAACAATCTCAATTATGAATTCTAAGTAGGAAGACTGAATAGACGTGATGTCACAGCGTCAACCGATTGTGCTTGTCACGATTACAAGATCTTAAAGCGGAAGTGATGTAATCGTAGAACGATTTTTAGCCCTTGAAAGAGAAGCAACGTCACAGCAGTTATAAATACGCCTGTCGCTGTGTTGGCTGTTGGTTGTTGGCTCACCCGCTTCAAGTTGTCCCAATATAACGTCTGGGGGGATAATTACTACTTAATGCTAAGTGGTGTTGATTGAAATAACGCTATTTTACAGAGTGGTTTGCGTGGTACGAGTTGTCGTATGTTTTAAAATTACGTCAATTAGTCGCG